GTTTTAATACCATCTAACTTTAAACTTATCAAAATCCTCTTTCATCCCTTCAAAAGCTCTTCTATTCCTTTCTTTTTCCACATCATCCAAAAGATACTAAGAGGAATAAGACCCAAATATTTTTTCCTACCAGTAACACCCTTCCATGCATATATCTCCTCTCTAACATTAGCCGTCGTTGTCCAACTGGTGCCCAATAACCTATACGCCATACTCCATAATTTATATGCTAGGGGGTGGCTGACTATAAAGGCTGGTGATGCAAGAAATTATAAGCAAAACTTTGTAATAACCAGAAAAGGGCCTGGAACTGACCAGATGTACGTGGCAGAGGGCTGGGTACGTCGAGGTGCAGCTAGCAACAGCTGTGCTTGGCAGGGCAGTGGCAAAAAGTGTGGTTCACAGCAGGTAGCATTGCATGCAACAAAGCAGGAAATAGAGCATAAAAGGAAACAGAACAGAACAAAGCAGCTGGCGCCAGAAATGGATAAGAAAAGAATAGTTGGTGCCAAAACCAAAGCAGAACAGAGTAGCAGTGGCTGGAGCAGAAACAGGGGCAAAACGGAGGTGAGAAGCAGTTGGCTGGAGAGGAACCAGGGGCAAAACAAAGCAGGTTGCTAGTGATATGGAGAGTTGGGTGTGAGATTCGGATAGTCCTACGTTTGTGGGTTTTTTGAGGAGTAGATTGCTAGTGATATGGAGAGTTTCTGGGACTAATCTGGTGCGGACTGAGTGGTGAATAATGAACTTTTGGGCTGTAAGACTAGTTCGAAGGCGTGGTTGAGAGTGAGGGGCTCGTGCATTCTCAGTGTGGATTGTAGCTCCTCCTTCAACCCACTAACGTAGCTGGAGATAAAGTATCTCCCTGCCAGCCTTGGATTCTCCATAAGCATCAATGACCTCGTTTCTTTAAATTTCTCCTGATATATGAGCATCTGATCCTCTTTCACTAATTTGTTAAACTTCTCCACCATACAGATTCCTGCTAATCCACCAAACCTCCTACATAACTCTTCCACAAATATATCCCGTTCCATCAGCCCATTGGCATTAGTCAACCCATGAAACCACACTTGTGCCTTATCGCCTAGGTATAGAATGATGGTTTCTACTTGAAGTTCTTCAATTATACCATATACTTGAAAATATTTCAAGCACCATCTAATCTAAGTGCACGGATTTTTGCCTTTGATTGATTGAAATTTCTACCTTTGGCGTGGGGGCACCCACAGGACTATTCCTTGGGACCTGTTTACTACTACCCCCACTTCAAGTGGCTTCAGG